ACACTATATTAATAAATAACATAAACTTTTTTCTCTAATTCAGTAATTTACTATTTCCCATCCTGGAATTTTTACTGAAGAAGCATAAAAGTACCTAATTGGAAATGTGGCATACTGACAAAATTAGGTTCACTTACTTATGCAGAGTCAATGTGTTATTTCATCTTTACACATACAAGAGAAAATAGAACTGGGAATAAGAATTAGAGGGTAAGATCCTCTGCTGTAGGATTAATGTTAAGAAAGCACGAACAAAATCATTATGTAAAAATGTCTAGAGTTTCTCATCTCATATACATATGGAAAACATCCCTACCCAATTCAAACTTTAAAGACTTGTTAAAGGAACACACCATTAAACCAAGAAAGCTCATCTGTTGAACCTCAACAGTCCAGAGTCAGGTTCAAAGTTGAAAGATTTGAGAATAAGAGTTTCCAATGCTGGAGCTATATCTGGCTCAGGATTTACATAATCACAACATGAGTATTGTATGCTCTGTTGCCAATAAAAAATAGTTTCTGCTAGTGGGCGTCACGTATGCAGATAGAAATGCTTTGAGAAATTGACAATAGTTTCAATTTGCAAAAGTTATTCCAAAGGCTGCAAAATTAATTCCTGCCTTATATGCTATGAAAATTCAAAAGACCAAACTCATTGCCCTCAGGACAATTCTGACCCATAGCAACACTACAGGACAGAGTAGAACTGCCCCTGAAGGTTGCTGAGTTTGCAACTCTCTACAGGAGTAGAAAGCCAAGTCTTTCTCCTGTGGAGCAGCTGGTGAGTTCTAACTGCTGACCTTGCAGTTAGCAGCTCAATGCATGACTACTGTGCCATCAGGGCTCCTTTTTGCCTTGAAGGAGTCCTAAGAATCTCGATTCTTGGCATAATGAGTTCTGCCAAAGTAAGGCAGACTCCATCTTCATTGGGTTTTTTTTAAGTTTACTCTCAAATCAGTTCGCCAGAATGCTTCACGAAGCCCAGGGTTGTCTCTTTCTCCTCCTGCTTCCTCTGAAAGTGTGCTCCAAGGACGAGTGCCTGCCCAGGACGGCCTCAGCAGATCCGCAGATTAACAATGCAACTCGAACATCGTGATAAAACGGTGCTTCGGGGATCTCCAGTGACAGCTAAAACATGGTTTGGTAAAGGTCAACCAAGCAGAATTTTCCCTTGAAAGTTCCTGAATTTTCTGTACTTCAATTTTGTGAGACATCCTTCTCACCATTGCACTGCATAGAATCCTCACCAACTACCTCCCAATTCACATTGTTGCATTTCATCAAAAAAAAATTTTAATTTTAACACAGACTCCAGTTTGCTCTGTGACATATTTTATAGTCAGCAATTGAGAGCTCCGGAGATGCGTTTCCCACAATGACCCCTGGGGGCTTGACGATCTGAGTTTAGTACCAAGCAGGGCTGTTTGGGCTCATCTACGTGAACTTCTCAGGAGTCACTATCAGATAAATAATCTCTAGAATTTCAAGTTTTATCTCTATGTGAAGAGCTTCTCAAGGCTTTCTTGAAAGAGCTGAATTATGTTTGTCACCCTCTGTTGCAGGGTTTTCTTCTGGTCGTTCAAGAATTAGCCTCTACTAGCAGGAGAGGAAATACTGGATTTTTACAAAACAGTGTACAGGAAGACCCTGAGTTTGTACACTCTCTGGTTCCAAAAACCTACCACCATTGGGTCTATTCCAACTCACAGAGATGCTTTGTAGGGTTTTCAGGGTTTACAGTTTTACAGGAAGGAATAAGATAGCCCCATCTTTCTCTTGCAGTGCAGCTGTTGGCTTTAAACTCCCAACCTTGTGGAGAGCAAGCCCATACTTTCCCGGTAGAACCATTAGGGTTCTTGGGCTCCATAAGCAACATGAAAACAAAGGCATGGTTCTACTAGCTACAAGCAGTGAGAGCCATTGCTATTCACAAATAGTAGTTACAACTTTCCAGAGCATGATAAGCCAGAGCATTAGCCTGCCTGCCAGCCACAAGACAATGCCTCCACTAGTCTCAGGCACACTGGTTTAAGCAATATACTGTCCAAACGCCATCTGCTCCCCAAGAGTCTTAAATGTTAAACTTAAAGCTTCTTTGAAAATAGAAAATGCCATAGCGAGGAACACAATATAATCTCCATGTGGGACTTCTGCCCAACATGCATTGCAGACAAACACTAGGACTTGGCCACATCCTCCTACCTATTGTATTGGCATGCCTTTACCAAGGACAGTCTGAAAAATACGTGGTGAATTTGTTTACTCTTCTGAAAATTCTAAATTGAGAATTCTGTATGAAACATTAAAATTAAAAGGCTCCTGAATTAAGCAGAACCCATGGGATGCATCTTTGTCATTGATATTTTAAAGCTTCCAGAAGACCTAAGATTAAATGTGCTTCCCTATAAGATAACCGTTGTAAGTTAACTAAACAAAATACAGAGTTACAACATCAGATTTATGTCCCAACTCCCTGAGTTGTCCCAGAACCATCTGTTCCTTTGCTGGCTTCTCCTTTGCAACCTCAACGGTCTCCTTTGCTCCTACTGAAGAGGCCTCCATTCCCCAGTCATACGGGAGCATACGAGTCAGATTGTCACTGGGTCTGGTTTGAGGTTTTAATTTAAATCTTTAAGAAAGTAGACTCCACACCTGTCTCACAGAGTGGCTAGAAAGCTTGAACCAAAGCTCTTTCCATTAATGGCCACCGGCATTCCATGTCTTTTCTCTCTCTCGCCAGTCATACTCAGAGTGTACAGTTACTTGTATTTATTCTTCTAGTTTTTAATCCTGGTTCTTACAAGTGCTCACCATATTCTGTTCGGTTTCTCTTTGTGGACATAGAAATTGTATTCTACATTTCCCACGCTCTTACAGAGATGAGTGTGGGCCAATGGGGTAGAGGTGCAACTGACTGTGTGCAGCCGATGGGCTCAGTCTCACCTCTGACCTGCAAGCAAGAAATGATCTTTCATTGTATTAGGCAGATAATACTTTTGGAGGTGATGATAGATAGATAGATGATAGATAGATAGATAGATAGATAGATAGATAGATAGATAGATGATAGATAGGTAGATAGATAGATAGATAGATAGATAGATAGATAGATAGATAGATAGATGATAGATAGATAGAATTGCATCATAATGTATCCAAACCGTAAGAAAATAAACATGTTGTTTCATACTTCTCAAAAGCATACTTTCTAATACTATATACTATCTCAACAAGGTGATGTCCTAGCTCTCTTCCTCTACTCAATCATTTAGATTTTTACCTAATTTCTCATGAATACAAGTAGTTATATAATGAACATAACTGCAGAGGTTAAATGCTGGGAATGTTTAAAGAAGCATATAGAAGCTAAAAAAACATCACTATCTTTCATGTCTAGTGCATCAAAACAATGGACACAATGGGACAGTTTGGGTTTTTTTTTAATGATGCTTGGATGTGTTAGTCTGGGTACTTTAGAGAAACAAATCCACAGAAACTCATGCATAAGACAGAGTTTTATATTAAGGTTAAGTGAGCATCAATAAAACACCCTAACCCAGTGCTGCCCAAGCCCACAAGTTCAACATTAGCCCATTAACCCATATGTCCAACACCAATCCAGAAAGTCCTCCTCTATCTCACAAAGCAGATACAATGATGCCAACTGCAAGAGAAAAGCTGAGTCAGTGATGTGTAAGCATCTCAGCGCTGGCAGGGGTCTCCACATGGCTACTCCAGCATCCAGGGTTGCATCACGGTAGGTCCATGTGGCTTCCCCTTGGGGATGTCTTGCAGGAAGTTGGCCTTGCAAGCTGAAGCAGGGAACTGCTAAGGCAGTTGCACCCTAGTCTGACCATCACAAAGCAAGAGACCTGAGAACTAGAAAGGCGAGGCTCACCGAGGGATAACTCTGTCCTTCAATTAACTCCACATGTGTTTATCAACCAGGTTGGCACAATAAATTAACTAATTCACTTGGATTAAATGAAAAGCTCTGTGTCAAAATTAAATAGAATGGTAAGGTATATTTGTAATATTATGAAAAGTCTTACAGGAAGGTGTTAGACAACAGAAAATAAAAAGGTATTGTTTTGTGTAAGGAATAAAGATATTGGAGTTGTGAGAAAAATAAAAGATGTCTCAGGGGACAGGGCCAATATTATACAAGAAAGAAGGAATTTTTAAAAACCAACATGTAGCTACTCCCATAGATATTTCTGAGTATGAGGGAGGAAAGAAGGTGAAATTGGATAGATAAGAAATATCGCTATCATAGACTTAGCTTATGGTTGTTGAAAGAACCCTCACAAGTTACCTAATCTATGAACCTTATTTTAAGATGAGATAATGCAAGTCCTCAAAAAAACGAAACCAAATCAGACACATACAACACGGCTTTTGTTTCTTCTCTATTTAAGATCTTACCCCCCACTCCCCACCCCACCCCCTTGCCTTTAGCAGTTAGTGAAAGAAATCAAAGGTTGGAATACCTACTAACATACTAAATCAGAAACTAAATTGACGTACCATTGAAGAAAAACTTTACTTATTTTAGGCTCATAATCAGCTTTCAGAAGGTCCTGATGGCAACACACATCAAACATTACAAGACTGAAAAGAGAAATGAGTGGAGAACTGAACCCTGATTAAACAAAATCCCTTATGGCAACAGTTGGGTTCTTGAAGGCCATTAAGACTCAGCCTTGAAACGGCTGAGAAGTCTCACGACCCAGGTGTCAGTATCTGCTGTTTGCTTCTGCGCCTTGACATTGAGACTAAGAAAAAGAACAAGGACGTATGCGAGTTCTGGGAAATCAGGATGGTTAATTTTCTCAAGGAGGCTTGCTTTGGAAAAACAGAGTTGTTGATGTGTAGCCAATGTGCTTGCTTAACAATGAGAAAAATATAACCCCGGGTTGTTTCTGCATGTATAAAAGGAAGATGTAGAATAAACTCGGGGCTTCAGTATTCGCTGTTGCCCTCCCAATACTTTCTGTCTCTCTTTTTTTCCTTAATCCTTACTCTCCCTTTCAGGACCGTTCACTCGTCGGCAGGCTCCAACAGATTGGCTCCTCGAACAGGGACCTGAAAACGGGGGACCAAGTGAAGGACACCGTGGATTACAAGGTGTACATGAAGTGATTGGTGTGCAGTGAGTAACAATCGGGAGTAAAATGGGGCAAGGAAATAGCAAACAGATTTTTGTATATATGCTTCAAGATATGTCAAAAGCCAGAGGAACAAAAGTAAGCTATCAAAGATTAGAGAAGTTTTTAGATTTTGTAGTTAAAGTATGTCCTTGGGTCCCTGAAGATGGGACTGTAAATATTGAAACTTGGTTGAAAGTAGGGGAACGACTAAAAGATCACTATGCAAGTAATGGACCTAGCAAGGTCCCTATAGATACGTTTAGCCTATGGAATTTAATTAGGGATAGCTTGGATCCTAGGCAAGAGGGATTTTTGGAGTTAATAAATTAACCTGTGTTAAGCAAGGAAAACCGGAAGCGAGTGCCTCTGCAATTACTAGAGGGACTTTCGGTGGCGGAAAAGAAAGAAGAAAAAAAAAAAAAGAAAGAAAAGAAAAATGGGAAATTCCCCATCCAGGGAACGTGAATATCAAAAGTTGATAAAAGAACTTCTCCATTCTACAGGGGTGGAAGTTAAAGATAAATTATCGGGAGAATTATTTGCGCATGTACAACAACATTGTGATTGGTTTTACAGTCAAGAAAAGGTTCAATTGAATTCAGCAGCATGGCAACAAGTAGGAAAAACATTACGCACTGCTCATCAACGGCGACAGACTATGAATTTAAAGCTATGGTCTTTGTGTAGTGCTCTTACTCAGGCTTTACAGTTATTAGAGACAGACTCGGAGAAAGGTGTAGAAAGTGATAAAGATAGGAAAGAGAATGGAATCCAAAGGGAGGAAGAGGAGTATGCAGAAGTAGCTGAGGAGGAATTAGGTCCAGCATTAACAAGGAAAGAATCAGATGATGTCGTGATAGAAGGAAATGATGTTCCAGAGCGTATAGGATTGTTAAAACAAATGCTTAAATGTCATTCTGCTAACAGTTGCTCCATTACCCGGAGCTACTTTCACTTTCTCAAGGCCAAAACGTGGGGAGGAGCTGCCTCCCAATCCAGGAATATTAGCTTTTCTCATATCAGAGCTTGTGCAGGGATCGGCAGAACTGCATAACAAGCTGGGTGGTTTGCAGGGGCTATGGCTGGTGCTGTGATTGGTGGAAAGCACTATGTCTGTGAAAATCAGTGACAGGCGCTGGAGGACTCTGCAGCTCTATCTCATTTTCCTAAGCCTAAAAGAAAGTGCACCCCTCCAGAACCAATAGGTTATAGAACCATAGAAGGAGAGATTTTACAATGGGGTCGAGGGTTTGCTCTTATCTCCACAGATTCCAGAGCTGAGTGGTTGCCAACCCGACTTCGGAAACTGAGAGATGGCTAAGAAGTCCCGCACTCAGAAGTTTCTGCAAGTTTTCAAATTTTCCCTTTTCCTTTTGCTGAAGAAGAAGACAAGCACATTAATACTTATAGCTTGGCGGTGAGGGGATTCCCTATTTTCCCAAGATATGATTCTCATTGTTTATCTTATACACATGAGGTTTGGGGAGTGAGGTATAATCGTTCTTCTTTTGTAGCAACTACAGTTCTTATTTCTGCAAGAGGCTTTAGAGGGAAAGTCAATAATATCTCTGAGACCACTTCTACCCTGTTATCTATTTGCCCACTCCCTAATGTAGATCCTGGAATGCAATAATTGGTATGGACTCATTGTCAAGGAGAATAGCCTAAGATATTATTAAAACATACAGACTTGAAAATAGTGGATTGGAGCCCTCATGGAGACTTTATTAATAAATTTTCAAAAATACCTTTAAGATGGCTAATGGTTCTTTGAAAGGAAATGGCAATGAAACTGTTATTTGGCATGATGGAGGATTAACCCCTCCTATGCCGCATTTGTTGGGAGATACAAACTCTCAAGGCCATTTATGGAAATTATTAACATCTGGGGAGCCAATTAAAACCTGGATTGGCAATATGTCTATCAATATTTCTAATACTGTTGCACCTATTAGTATAAATCTTCATATTAATGCTACTCGGTATATTCAAGCTTGTGTGAAAATTCCTTATGTTATTTTATCAGGAGATATTACTTGGAATTCTAGTACAGGGGTTTTGACTTGTTCTTCAAATTGTACTTTACAACATTGTGTAAATTTTACCTGGTGGAAAACTTCTAGCCAAACCAGAGACAGTTTGTATCTTGTTAAAGTACGTCCTAAGATTTGGTTGCCTGTTAATTTAACTCAACCCTGGAGTGAATCTGTGGGAGTAATGCAGATCTACAATGCCTTGACTGAATTGACCCATCGAGTGAAAAGAATGATTGGACTGATAATAGCCACAGTGATTGGACTTGTAGCTGTAGCATCTACTGCAGCAGTGGCGGGAGTTGCTTTGCAGCAAGAAATACAAACAGCAGACTTTGTTCGAGGGTGGCATAAAGATTCTCATCTGTTGTGGCAACAACAACATGACATTGATGCTCAAATAGCTGAAGACATCGCCAACTTACAACAAACAGTGTTGTGGATGGGAGATCAGGTATCTGTGTTAGCTACTCGAGTTATGCTTCGATGTGACTGGAACACCTCTTATTTTTGTATTACTCCTGTTCCGTATAACGTTAGTAAGGATTGGAAAAATATTAGAAATTTATTAATTGGACATAAAAATGTATCTTTAGAAAGTCAGTTATTAGAATATCAAATTGGTGAAACTTTCATTAGACAATTACCCAAACTTATTGGTAATGAAATTTTTTCAGGGAATTGGTAAGAGACTGTCTTCTATTAACCCTTTGGAACAAGCAAATGCTTTATTATCTTTAACCATTGATAGTGTTATTCTATTAATCATTAAGGTTATGGTTGAATTATTGGCCTTAAGTACAAAGTTACATGAAGTATGCCTGTGTACTTCGCCCCCTCCCCAAACGGGGGCATAAGGCAGAGGCTGGTTAGTCAGAGATGGGTAAGATTGAGTCCAAGTCTCTCAACCTAAGACAGGTCATCGTCACCTGGAGGACTGTGGCTGATGACGGGTCAGAGTGATTTCGGGACTCGACAACCTAAGACAGGCACAGTCATCTGATGGCGTTTTGAGTAAAGACTTGTCTTCAGTAACTAAAAAAGGGGGAGATGTTGAAGGCCATTAAGACTCAGCCTTGAAACGGCTGAGAAGTCTCATGACCCAAGTATCAGTATCTGCTGTTTGCTTCTGCGCCTTGACATTGAGACTAAGAAAAAGAACAAGGACATATGCGAGTTCTGGGAAATCAGGATGGTTAATTTTATCAAGGATGCTTGCTTTGGAAAAACATAGAGTTGTTGATATGTAGCCAATGTGCTTGATTAACAATGAGAAAAATATAACCCCGGGTTGTTTCTGCATGTATAGAAGGAAGATGTAGAATAAACTCGGGGCTTCAGTATTCACTGTTGCCCTCCCAATACTTTCTGTCTCTCTTTATTTTCTTAATCCTCACTCCTCTTTCAGGACCATTCGACTCGTCGGCAGGCTCCGACAATGACTGTGCTTAAGTTTTGCCTATGCTTAACAATGCTGGATTGCTTTCTCCTAGCTACTAAATTCCTTACCATTGAGTGTGTAATATTTGCATTTGTAATTTTTAATATGCAACATTTAAAAGCAAATTTAGCTAATTATAAACTGATGTAACTCCAAAGAATAAAAGATCTTTTAATAGTTGAAATGTGATTATAAAAGGAGCCTTCAATCAGTTATCAGGCATCAAAGAACAAAAAAATCATATCATTGTGTGCTCACCTTCCCAATACGATCGCTGAAGACAAAGCGGGTACATAAGCAAATGTGGTGAAGAAAGCTGATGGTGCCCAGCTATCAAAAGATATACTGTCAGGGGTCTTAAAGGCTTGAAGGTAAACAAACGGCCCTCTAGCTCAGAAGCAACAAAGCCCACATGGAGGAAGCACACCAGCCTATATGATCACAAGATGTTGAAGGGATCAGGTATCAGGCATCAAAGAACAAAAAATCAAATCATTGTGAATGAGGGGAAGAACAGATTGGTGACCCAAGACCCATCTGTAGACAACTGGACATCCCCTTAAAGAAGGGACAGGGGTGGGGGGGGAGACGAGCCAGTCAGGGTGCAGTGTAGCAGTGGTGAAACACAACTTTCCTCTAGTTCTTAAATGCTTCCTTCCTCCCCCACCCACTATCATGATCCCAATTCCACCTTAAAAATCTGGCTAGACCAGAGGATGTACACTGATACAGATAGGAACTGGAAACTCAGGGAATCCAGGATAGATAATCCCTTCAGGACCAGTGGTGAGAGTGGAGGGTGCAGGGAGGGTGGAGGGAGGGGGAGCGTGGAAAGAGGGAACCAAGGATCTACATATAACCCCCTCCCTGGGGGATGGACAACAGAAAAGTGGGTGAAGGGAGACGTTGGACAGTGTAAGACATGACAAACTAATAAAAACTTAAAAGTTATCAAGGGTTCATGAGGGTGGGGGAAAATGAGAAGCTGATACCAAGGGCTCAAGTAGAAGCAAATGTTTTGAGAATGATGATGGTAACAGATGTACAAATGTGCTTGACAGAATGGATGGTTGGATGGATTATGATAAGAGTTGTATGAGCTCCCAGTAAAAAGATTAAAATAAAAAAAGAGGAGCCTTCAAATATTTGTGGGGAAAATGACACTAAATAATAATGGTATTTTCCCACTAACTTTTTGAAGCCCCCTCATATATCAAAGTATACATGAGAATGTCTTTATTTCCTTTGTAAAATAATACACTAAAGTTTATTTCATATGTATTCCCCCTAAATCTAGTAATTTTGAAAGGAAGAATATGAAGAAAAAAAGAAAGACACATGACTACAAATTCTCCAGAAATATTACATGCTTATGACATAGTCATGCATGTGATTGGCATGAAGCCAAATCCAATTAGCTTTCACTGTGCTAACAAGAAACTGTAGCAAAATAAGACAAATTCTATGGCAGAAAGCCAATATTTGGATATGAAATTATGTCTTCTAGACATATATTTAGTGTTGCTTCCAAGCCCCTTCACCCGAGCTTCATTTTACATGTGCTCAGGTCTTGGCTTTGTCACAGAGCTGGGTTTTAGAATGACTTCAATTTTATAATTAAAAAAAAGTATGTTCGGCCTCACAGAAATTCCAAACTGCTTACAGGTCTGTGTCATAGTTCCTGACATTTAACCGAAAGGATCAGCATGTAAAAGCAGATAATAGAACGCCAGGGGTCAGTGAAGTGAGCAGGCTTTCAAACATGAGGGTACCTTCCTTAGACTTTCATGATATGGCAAATTTTGTAATTAGCTTGAGGGTTTTATGAAAAGAGCCCATCTCTCTGCAATTTATAGATTTATGTCATTTGTAAGAAAAAAAGTGAAATAACCTTTAAAATTCAATAATTCCTTCATCAAAAGCTTGTTCATATTGGGGTTTATCTTAGATGTACTATGTCATTGGAGGTCACCCTCTTGAATTTGTGCTATCTGGTTTTTCAGTATTTGAAACCCAGGATTGACACATCTTCTATGGGGACAGCAAGTACAATAAGGGCTTCTGGGGAGTACAGTAGGGGTGGGGGGGCAGTAAAAGCAGATGATGTCAAGGAATCCAGGAAGGAAAAGAATGTTTGGAAACTGATAAACTGATTGAGGTAGCAATTGTACAATGCTGCTTGATATGATTGAATTATGGAACAATATATGTATTCATTCCCAATTTTTAAAAAAAGTATAAAAGAAAAAAGTTGACATACATATTACTAATATTAATAATAGCCATATCAATTGTAGGTGTTTTTCAAATCCATCTCACTAAATTCTAACATTATCTCTACTTTAAAAGTAGAGGGTGGGATCCTAGAAGGTAAGTATTCTATTTTATTTTAAATCTACCTTTTGATATTTCTACCCCTTAGCTGTTTTGCATTTCTCATAGTAAAAAGAATAATTAAAAATAGCCAAAAGGCTATCAATTTACTAGAAACATTGTTAGGGTTTTACATAGATTTCCTTAAAAGTCCTCAGAAAGGCAAATGTTGTGAATCTTAAAGGGGATAAGAAACTTTCCCAGAGGCACTCGGCATCCAAGAGGTTGGCCACTTTCAAGAAATAATCACAGGAGTTCTTTGGACAGAGAACCAACAACAGCAGAAGACAAGTTGAGATTAATAAACATGACAAAGCCAGCCCAAAGTCAACCCAAATGTAGATGTCTCCAACGTAAAACAAACCTGCAGACTCAAAATAGCGAACCCGATAAAAATGTCTAGTGAGACAGTTTCAAAGTAAAAAGAGGAAATAGTATAGTTAGAGAGCTTCTAAATGGAAAAGAAGTCAAGCAAGTTTCAAGAACTTGGGAAAGACAGTAAACACTAAGAGGGAAATTAACAAAATATCATGGCACTGGAAGAAACACAGAGAGGAAGGCAAGATGAAAAGCAAAAGAAGGAAACCGTGTCGTATACGCAGTCATGCAATACTGGCGATCTACAAGTACGTACATGGGTGGACACGCAGGCTGAACTGGGATAGAAGGGAAAGTATCTATATTAGGGTGTACTAAAAGCATGAAAAATTTCCCCCAAAGCTATCTATTTACATTTTTAAAAAACAAAATAACCTTATCACCTTCAAAGCATCCTCCATTACACTTAATACTTTTGTCAAATCTGTGATTCCATTCTTGGAAACATTTTCCAAATTAATCTGTTTGGATGGCTGACACCTCCCTCCTTTTTTCTGCACCTCTTCTACATCATCAAATCCCTGCCCTTTCACTTCTCTCTCCATTCACGGAAACAAAAAGAAGTCACACAGAGTGAGGTCAGATGAGTAAGGTGTGTCGGGCATGAGAGGCATGCTGGTTTTTGCCAAACACTGGTGCACTGAGATGGCTGTGTGAGCAGAACCCTACCAGACCCCCACCCCCCACCCCACACACATAATAGAGAATATTTGTATATGGCACTTTCTCTTTGCTTCAATTATATCCATATAGATGGCAAATTTTTGAAAACATCTTAGCCATCATCAAACACCTTGAGGGGATGAGTCACTAAGCCTGGGGGCTCAGGACCACAGTCTTGAGTGGCACCAGGATAAATGGGCACAATGATCCCCACAATGCACATCCTAGTTTGGTCAGTGATGACTGGGTTTTTAAGAATTGGTGAGAGGCCATTATGACGCAACTATCAGTCTCTTACTGTCTGGAGGAAACAAGAGGGATAAAAATCAAATACCTATCAAAACAATTAGTCCAACGATCTAATGGACCACATAAACATCAATCGCCATAACCCTGAGACCACAACTAGGTGGTGCTCAGTGACATTAGATGGTCCTGGATGGAGTGGGAGAAACTGGAGCCCTCAAATGCAGCTGGTGGGGCTAGAAGATTACACGGCACTTCCATAAAAAGTTGGAAATAAAAATATCATATGATCCAGCTATCCAATCATTAATTAAATATCCTAGGGACATAAGGAAATGGACCATGACACTAATAGACATATGCCTATTCATATCCATCAATGCATTTTCCACAATAGCATAAAATGGGAAATAACCTAAATGCTCATCAACATAAAAATGGATAAATGCACTATGGTACATACACACTATACAATACTTTGCAACATTAAAGAATAGTGATTAATATGCAGAGCACCTCACAATATGGATGAACCTGGAGGACATTATGTTAAGGGAAATAAATCAATCACAAAAGAACAAATATTGTTTGAGACCATTATTATTGAGTCAAGAAAAACAATTTACAATAAAAGAAACATTCTCTTGTGGTTATCAAGGGCAGGAGGGGTGGGAAAGGTCAAATTGCAACGAGAGTGTAACTATATATTAGCTCAGTTGAAAGGGAAGGCAATATACAATACTAGCAAAGTTAATAAAAACTTATGAAAGCAAAGATACTGAGAGAAGTACAAGGGTCAAAGGCAACAAATGTGAATAGCATTATATATGTAATCCTGCAATAATAATGTATGAGTGGATGCATAGATACACAAGCTGAATAGGTGTGGGAAAGAGAATGGTGATTTTATATGTATGTATGTATGTATAAATAATCTATCAAACATATATATATTTGATAGATTATTTATCTACATATGTATTTACCTAGTTGCAAATAAAACCATGAATATAGCAGAACCTACAGAGGGCAAGATTATGGACATAACCAAACACTTTAAAAGAATAAGCTGCTGGGGCTCAGGACCATACTTCCAGCAAACACCAAGGTCTCTCAGAATAAAGGATTCCACAAATATGCTGTCCTTCTTCCTACATTGGTGAGTAGGGATATTAAATGCTCATGAGTAACTTCTATGCATGATATGTATCATCTCGTATGGTACAA